TTAGTTTTTGCCATTGTTTTAATTAAAGCCTTCAGTCTCACATATGATCAAAGTGACTTACTGTCCCTCATTCCCTGGAATGTAAATTTTTATTGTACACAATTAAATTTCCACTTCCAAACAAAGGAAAGAATACAGAGATGAAAAGATTACCTAAAAAGCTCCATATAAAAACATGATAGCTTAACTGCAGCGTGTGTTCATGGTTTGAACGTTTCCCAGGATGAGGAATTCAGTAGGAGACAATCTTAAACATAGCCCACTACTTTTGAAAGTGATTTATCATTTAAACTGGAAAAAAAGGTGAGACTAAATTACGCATTTCAGTATGGATACCTAAAAGATGACATCCAAGCTGCTGTGAATTACTAAATTGGATGAGTTTTACAAAACAATTAGCTTGATGGAAACTAGCTCTTATGCCCTACTTTAGAAGCACCTGCATATTCTGAAAAACATGATGAATTTCAGTTCAACTGTAACCCAATTCCTTTAATCTCTGAAATAGCGCTTACCCGCTTGATCCTGCCTGCTCCAAAGTTATATTCAACATCTGGTCAACAGTGTCACGGAACACAACAGTAATCTAAATTATTCCTTTTCCTTTTATATTCTGTGGGGGGTTTTCTGTTGCTATTATTTTTCCTTAGTTTAGCCATAGCATATTAAACTAATTCATGCTTTTGTCTTAGTTTTGGAAGGAATTATATGCCAATATCTAGGCAACAGATACCCCTTTTTCCTGATTTAAAAAAACTATGAGGTTGCACACTACGGTAGCAAGTTTGCAATCAACTTAAAGATAATGCCTTAAAAGCACAATTAAGCATGTCATAACTGAAGAAAACCCTGGCGATTACAAATAGCACCATGTTTGCTGGGGTTTTAAACAGCAGTATAGACTAAGAAAACTCGCCACCCAGTGATGCAAATGAAAATTGCAATTTGTTTTTGTGTAAAATGAGTACCCGGGAGGATTACTTCAACTTCATTACTGAATGAATGAACAGCTATTACCTTCTTCTGTGAATAGGAACTGGTTACAAGGGAAAGGATGTTTTTCTACTGGGCCTTTTTTACCCCCCTCCTTATACTTATTCAGCACAATCGAACATTTTACAAAGACTAAAAGCTTTGGAAACCCTAAGAGAGAAAAAGTTTTCCATCCACAAGTAAGCTAATTGTATATGAACAGCCCAGATATTCCCATTATCAACAAAAGTGCCTAGGCTCTGCCTGACCCTGAATTTCAACTCACGGGGTGTTGACTTCAGCGACTCAGCAATGCCATCTAATAACTGCAACCAGAGACCTAACTGTGTTAAGCAGGAAGGCTTGCCTTGGGGGAAAAGTAGCCCCAAGTGGGAAAATATAGATAATTTATTCTTTTAACAGCAGAGTTTACTCTGAATTGTTAGAAACAGGCTGTAAAAGCCACATAAGATGATAATCTAAAAAATTCTGTAGGTTACACACTGATAGAAGTTGCCATAAATGTAATCATGTTTCTAAGTCTTTAGTTATCCACTGCACATGAGGACAAAGAAAGTTATGTGAACACGTGATAACAGAAGTACATGTGTGTAAGTATGGGGCCATGTTAATAATAGCATTTCATATCTACCACTTGACCTATTTGGCATTTTCCAAAATATTTTCCACCGTATGCTCTGAGACTGAAGTAGATATATATGTCAGTTTAGAACCATATGATAAAAGAGCAACTCAGCAGGACAAACCAGTCTTCAAAAAAAGATGTTACCATTCTATTTTTAAAGACAATTAACTATATTCCTGATCATCTGTCCTGACTTTTATCAGTCAATTCAGTTAAGTCCCTCATTGTTAAAGGATTATTTTTACTAACTAAACAATACATAACATCTTCCAATCTCAACTTCAGTCAGGAGATTCTAGATTTCTTCAATATGTTTAAAATATTAACTAGTGAAAATCTGGGGGTAGCCAAACTTTATAAACAGTAATATACCAACCCTCTTTTATTAAAACAAACAAAAATCAGCACTTTCTCTTGTATACAGTAAAGAACACAATTTAATTTTTTTTAAATCTTAAAATGTAAATAATGTCTTAAAATTAAAATTGATAATATGACATTTTAAAAAAATGGATAGCTTAGTGTTCAAGAGGGTAGGAGGTAGGCTCTGAGATCAGACTGCCTGGGCTAATTCCAGATCTGCTATGTGTCAGCTGGAGGAACTTGGAAAAGTTAGGCCCTCGCCTGTATATGGAGATATGATACCACCACTTCACTCACAGGGTTGTTCTAAGCATTTTACACACATTAACTCACTTAATCCCCTCAATAACCCTATGGGGAGGTACTGTTATCAAGTTCATTCTCTAGATAAGCTAAATGACACCCGGGAGGCTATATAACTTGCCCAAAATGGTGAAGGGTGTGGCAGGTACACCACCCCAAAATATGCCACTTTGGCATAAGGATAATTTTGAACGGAAAGCAAGAGATAAAACCCCCATATGAAAGATGCCAGGAGGAAAGAGACATTCTTATCACCAGAGATGGGGAGTTGAGGCCAAGAGAACTATACAGACAGACCTTGTTAAAATAACTCCTATCTTCCATTAGTCTCCCCGCATATTTCAGTCACATTTCCACAACTGCCTCTTTATTCAACCGGGTATATATGCACTTAGGTTTTACCACTTCTTTTGGTCTTCACTCTTCTATGAGGGCTGCTATGGACATGTAAGCATCTGTATGCTTTTCTCCTATTCATCTGTCTTATGTCTATTTAATTCTCTGCACACTAAACGTGAATCCTTTAAATAGCTACTTGATAACAAGAAGAATAATGTTGATTTCTAATCATGAAACAACAGGAAAAAGCAAGGTTCTCTGTGTTCTTTACTGTAGAACACCTCTATGAAGACTACAGAGGTGTTCTACAGTAAAGAATACAGAACAGCCCTGGCTGTGGGGCTCAGTGGTTGGAGCGTCGGCCAGCACCCCGAAGGGTCTCGGGTTCGATTCCTGGTCAAGGGCAAGGGTTCGCTCCCCTTCCCCAGTCGGGCCACGTGTGGGAGGCAGGCAACCGGTGGATGTGTGCCTCTCTCTCTCTCCCTCCCTCCCTTCTACTCTCTCTGAAAAGCAATGGGAAAAATATCCTCAGGTGATAATTAACAAAACCAAACAAACAGAAAAGAATACAGAACAGAGTTTGGAAAATCAGGCTTTGTGGAAGCAAATTTTGAGAGAAGAATTTACTGTGAAACTCCTGAAAGAGCAGAGCAAAAACTTCACACTTCACAGGAGACCAGAGACATCCCTGCAGTTTTTCCGTTACTGAAACTAATTCATTACATGAAAGGGAAGCAACATTGGCAGCTTTCAAGGAACAGAGAAAGTTGGGGTTGACAGAGCCAGCCTGACTTCGAAGCCACGGCACTAATTCCTGACATGCTAAGAAAGGCCAGATAAGCAGTCGTGTCCACAACATCCCACTTTATCCCAGTCAGAAGGCTCCCCAGAAAAATCGCTGGGCCTGCTCAGACTGTGCCCCAATATTTTGTCCCGGGGGTAGAGGATCTGGCGAGAGAAAAAACAACTCTGAGCACCCCAGCTACTGCCCCTGTCCCAGGCTACATGAAGCAGAGTCAGGAAAGCACACAGGCCTGCCAGAACTGGACTGTGGAAAAGATGGGATATTCTATGGCAGCACTTAGCTATGAGAAAACTCTATTCTGATCTCCCAGAGATTAAGGCCAGGAACTGGAAGAGGGCCAGGGAGATAAAACCTCAGTGTCCTTTCTGCAAGAGCCCAGGTCCTGAAGACAAAGGCTGAAGAGGCGAGGAGACCCACCCACCATACCTGTGAATGTGTGAGGTGAGAGGCATGGCTGAGCCTGGCTCTGAGAGGGGCTAAGCTGAAAGTTCAGGCAACACCCTTAAATCCTACGGATGCCAGGGGACCCTAGTCTGTCTGGGCCGCCATAAAGGAGGAGATAGGAGACCAGGATCTGGAAGGGAAGACACCTGAGAATCATCCCAGACAGAGAGTAAACACCCTGCGAGTTCGCGCCTCCTCTCAGAGGAGCCCAGATCTGGGGGCAGGGGCCCACGTGTGAGGGATACGAGCCGCAAGGGGAAACTGGGTCTTGGCTCCTCTTTACCAGAATACAAACCCTCCCTCAGGGAAAGACACAGTGACATGAAGAAAATGTTATTTTTTCTCATTCCCCTTGGGAAAAAGCATAGCATCTGGTTGAAAGAAATATATTTTAAAACCACTGAAACCTTAATAATTAGTAGTATAAATTTTATAACAGGAAATAAACTAGGCTTAAACATTTAGGAGACACTATTTAATATTACATTGAAAAGTGTACTACAGCCCAGCCGGCGTGGCTCAGTGGTTGAGCACTGACCTATGAACCAGGAGGTCAAAGTTAGACTCCAGGTCATGGTAGTCAGGGCACATGGCCGGGTTTCGGGCTCGATCCCCAGTAGGGGGCGTGCAGGAGCAGCCGATCAGTGACTCTCATCATTGATGTTTCTGTCTCTCTCTCCCTCTCCCTTCCTCTCTCTGAAATCAATAAAAACATTTTTTTGTAAAGTGTACTGCATGCAGCAAATATTTATATTTCAGATGCCTAATTTAATTTAAGATGCTAATTTAAGGAGCAAGGCTTGCTATTTATAAAACAGAACTTGAGATTATCAAGGATTCTTCAAGACTTTGGGTTTTTTACAATGAAAATGTTGATTAGCATATCAGAGAGAAAAAAATGGGATAATTTTATAAATTTAAATGGCAGGACACAGCCAAACCAATATATAAGAAGAGTCTGACTTGATGACAATATCCTAAATGATTAGTGAACTTTATAGATTTCATATAAATTAATTCTGGAATTACTGAGAAATAATTTAAAAAATCAATCCTATAATTTTCAAGTAATTTTTTAAAAGAAAAATAATCCATGTAATTATGATTTCATTTCTTAAAATGACTCACCTAAAAGGACAAATCCATCTGCTTCTGTGTCTGACACCGAGGGCTTTTTTGATTCCGGAGGCTTCCTGAAGAAGTGAAACATCGCTGCCACTGGGATCTGAAACAGAAACACTATCTAAGGTAAAATTCAAATGAAACTGTAAAACTCCTACCCTTTCTAGTAAAAAGTCAAATATAAAGAAATCACAATAACTACTTTTTAGGAGTTTCATTACCAGACTTAAAAACACAAGCCCTCCTCTCCAGGTGTCAGAAGACACAGCTAGAAATTAAGGCGCATGGACTTTCAGGGTAAAATGAATCATGTAACCTCTCAATTTCTGAACATGCAGGAAATCACCCAAGAAATCACCCCGTGTAAAACCAACATCAACAGGTCACACCAGAACCTGGTAGGACCTCTCTAAACATAAACATAAATCATATACTTGATTGAGGAAAGGAAAAAAACAAACACACCCGTCATGCAATAACTAGCTTAAAGCTCATAAAGCTGAGACCGCCTGAAAAAAAGAAGGCATTTCAAACATCCTCTCCAGTGGCTTATCTGATTCAGACACTCAAGAACTGTATCCACCGTAAAGCTGCAGCCAACTCTAAGTTCCCATCAGAGCAGATCTTTGTGTTGGTGCGATTATTGTGCGCTACCCCCAAACCACACACACACAAGCACACACACACGCACACACACACGCAAGCTCCCCTACCTCTTCCTCCTCCTATCTTTGCACACTCAGGCAGGCCAACAAGTCCTAGAAAACAACTGGGAAGGAAGTTTAAGGGAACCTGCAAGGACATACACACTACACTCTGAGGGCAGTCCCTATAAACAAAGCCATATAACAGACAGCAAAGAAAAGAATAGTCCTAGTGGCAGCAAATGCTCTACACTTTTGTTTTCATATATTCCACCCAAACCAGAAAATCAAGCGG